TAGGTTCTTCAAGCAGTATCTGCTGCTACTTGCACTCAACCAGATGTCATCTGCACTATTCCGCTTCATTGCTGGAATCGGAAGAGACATGGTTGTGTCTCACACATTTGGACCCTTATCACTGTTGGCTTTTGCAGCATTGGGTGGCTTTATCCTTGCAAGACGTAAGTTACTGGATTCCCTTTCAATAATTGCATGTTCTTATATGTACTTGAAATTGATGGTTTTAAATGCTAATTGTTCCTGACATGTTTCTCTTTTATAGCTGACGTGAAGAAATGGTGGATTTGGGGTTACTGGATATCCCCGCTATCGTATGCACAAAATGCTATTTCGACAAATGAATTTTTGGGTCACAGTTGGAGCCAAGTTAGTGCCACATTTCTTCACCAGCAATTGAACTTGCAATGTTATAAACTGTAAAACTGAACATGTATTTTGCATGTCACAGATACTTCCTGGAGAAAATGTGACCTTGGGAGTTAGTGTACTAAAATCTCGTGGTATCTTTACTGAAGCTAAGTGGTACTGGATTGGACTTGGTGCTTTGCTTGGATACACTCTCCTCTTTAACCTGCTCTACACTGTAGCTCTTTCAGTTTTGAGTCGTAAGTATATTTGAAAGACATTTTTTAGAACTCCAAAATATCTAATCAACATTTGCGAGCTAAAAGATAATAACTGTGGCTACTTGAATTTTTTTCGCAGCATTCACTGACTCTCATGCATCAATGTCTGAGGACGCATTGAAAGAGAAGCATGCCAACTTAACCGGTGAAGTTGTAGAGGGACAGAAGGACACTAAATCTAGGAAGCAGGAATTGGAATTGTCCCATATTGCTGACCAAAACTCTGGAATTAACAGCGCTGATTCTAGCGCAAGCAGGAAGGGAATGGTGCTCCCATTTGCACCACTATCTATTAGTTTTAACGACGTAAGATACTCAGTGGACATGCCAGAGGTAATTTTGCTCAGAACGACTACAAGTGCGTAAAAATCATTATGTTAACACAGGTTTTTAACCCAATTATGTTGTTTTATATTAACAGGCAATGAAAGCACAAGGCATAACAGAAGACCGTTTGTTGCTTCTAAAGGGTGTTAGTGGTTCTTTCAGGCCAGGTGTACTTACTGCATTGATGGGTGTAAGTGGTGCCGGGAAGACAACACTGATGGATGTTTTAGCAGGGAGAAAAACTGGAGGATACATAGAGGGAGATATTAGAATATCTGGCTATCCAAAGAAGCAAGAGACCTTTGCACGTATATCAGGATATTGTGAGCAAAATGACATCCATTCTCCCCATGTGACAGTATATGAATCACTTGTGTTCTCTGCATGGCTGCGGCTACCCTCGGAGGTTGATTCAGAAGCAAGAAAGGTTAGTTAGCTAGATTATGGGCTAACATTTGTTTCTTGTGTATGTTTTTCGGTTGTTAACTGACTGTACATCTTACGCGCTGAACCATGATTACAGATGTTTATTGAGGAGGTCATGGATCTTGTAGAGCTCACATCTCTGAGGGGAGCACTTGTTGGGCTTCCTGGAGTGAGCGGCCTGTCAACTGAGCAACGCAAGAGACTTACTATTGCTGTGGAGCTTGTTGCAAACCCTTCAATTATTTTTATGGATGAGCCAACATCTGGTCTTGATGCTCGGGCAGCTGCGATTGTGATGAGGACCGTAAGGAACACCGTTAACACTGGCAGGACTGTTGTTTGTACCATTCACCAGCCAAGTATTGACATCTTTGAAGCATTTGATGAGGTGACTAGTTGTTTCTTTGGGAAGTTATCCTTTGATTCATTAGATGAACTCTGTATATTAACTACGTTGCTGTTCACCTTATCTACAGCTTTTCCTAATGAAGAGAGGAGGTGAAGAGATATATGTTGGTCCAGTGGGCCAGAATTCCTCAAAACTGATTGAGTACTTTGAGGTAAGAACGGAAAATCAACATAAATAACAATCATCTCTTCATGCTTCAGCACGTAGGCTGACTAAGTCACATCAAACGGAAATTCCGTTGTTCATTTGTTCAGGGAATTGATGGCGTTAGTAGGATAAAAGATGGATATAATCCAGCAACATGGATGTTGGAAGTGACCTCTTCAGCCCAGGAGGAGATGCTCGGTGTTGATTTTAGTGAAATCTACAGGCAGTCAGAGCTATATCAGTAAGCTTCGGCACATGCCATTCTGATTAATAGAATGAATAGTGTATTTGAACTGCAATTCTAATTATTATTATTATTATTTTGCATATTTGCAATTTCAGAAGGAACAAGGAACTTATTGAGGAGCTAAGCACACCACCTCCTGGCTCTACTGATCTCAACTTCCCTACGCAGTACTCTAGATCGTTCATTACACAGTGCCTAGCTTGCTTGTGGAAGCAGAATTGGTCATATTGGAGGAATCCATCCTACACTGCAGTGAGATTACTCTTCACTATCGTCATTGCCCTAATGTTTGGAACAATGTTCTGGAACCTTGGAACGAGAACGTACGTCTCTAACATATGTTCTTATTATTTTAATCTGTTTGACAAATAACTTCTAAACCTTTACTCATCATATCTTGTTGCAGTAAAAAACAACAGGATCTATTCAATGCCATGGGATCAATGTATGCTGCAGTTCTCTACATTGGAGTGCAAAACTCTGGTTCTGTTCAACCAGTGGTGGTGGTGGAGCGAACAGTCTTTTACCGAGAAAGAGCAGCTGGCATGTATTCAGCTTTCCCGTATGCATTTGGACAGGTAATTTGTCTTTTAGACTCTCGGTTGGCCTAGTTCTAATCTCATGTATATAATGTATGACTTCAAAGACTCTGATGCCTGAATTCTGACTTGCATTTGGGATTGAACTGAAATGGCTGTGCAATAAGCTATTCGTTAGCACTGTCAAGCTCTTTTGGTCCCATAACCTAACAATGCCACTTTTCCCTTTTTAGGTTGCAATTGAGTTACCATACATCATGGTTCAGACTCTGATATATGGCGTGCTGGTATACTCAATGATTGGATTTGAGTGGACTGTTGCCAAGTTCTTGTGGTACTTGTTCTTCATGTACTTCACACTGCTATATTTCACATTTTACGGAATGATGGCGGTAGGGTTGACACCAAATGAGAGCATAGCAGCAATCATCTCGTCCGCTTTCTACAATGTGTGGAACCTCTTCTCAGGATATCTGATCCCTCGACCGGTAGGTTATTCTCCCATCTCAATTTCGCCCCCTTTCTTTTCTCATGAAATGTCGCTTTTATTAGTCCTTTAGAACCGTTTTAAATTTCTCTACAGAAAATCCCTGTTTGGTGGAGGTGGTACTGTTGGATTTGCCCGGTTGCATGGACTTTGTATGGATTAGTTGCTTCCCAGTTTGGTGATATCCAACATGTGCTCGAAGGCGACACCAGAACTGTTGCACAGTTTGTCACTGATTACTTTGGCTTCCATCATAACTTCCTGTGGGTGGTGGCCGTGGTGCACGTCGTCTTCGCCGTGACCTTCGCCTTCCTCTTCAGTTTTGCGATCATGAAGTTCAACTTCCAGAGGAGATGAGAAAGTGATCATTCTTTTTTGCATTCGTTCTATTGTACTACTGAATAGCTATTAGCTATCCTGTAAATGGTATAGAGATCATCTTCTAGTATTTCATTATTTCAAGCATGTAAAAATTCGGACATCTAGTAGGATTCTCTAGGAAAAAGAACCCTTGTTGAGCTTCCTGCCTCTTGACCAGCTCTAGCTGATAAATGTCGGATGCAGATGAATGTAAAGTATGGCCTTCAATGTTTTCATTTTTGTCGAATTAATGAAAGCAGAAAATTTGTTGATTCAATCCCTTTGCAGCAACTCTTCAGAATAACTTTTGTTCCATTGTTCTATAGATTTGACTAATAGCGGAGTAAATTTTTCACAATGCGGTTACTGATCTTGTAGTAATTTACTAACAAAATAACCTCTATTTTTAAATATATGATATTGTTTTCTTTTGAACATAATGTTTCACTATTTTTAAGAATTATTTATTTTCTTGCATTTTATTATGAAAGGTATTTAAAGCATTAATTTTTTTTACTAAATTTTTAAATAAATCGAAATGGTTAGAAGTCAATAGCTGCGAAAGTAAGGCCTGGTGCCCTGGTTTAGTTCCTAAATTATTTTTCCCAAAAACGTTACATCGAATATTTGGACATATGCGTGGAGCATTAAATATAGATAAAAACAAAAACTAATTGCACAGTTTGCATAGAAATCGCGAGAAGAATCTTTTGAGCCTAATTAGTCCATGATTAGCCATAAGTGCTACAATAACCCACATGTGCTAATGACGGCTTAATTAGGCTCAAAAGATTCGTCTGTGGTTTCCAGGCGAGTTATGAAATTAGTTTTTTCATTCATGTCCGAAAGCCCCTTCCGACATCTGATCAAACATTCGATGTGACACCTTTTCGCGAACTAAATAGGGCCTAATACTTCTGTCATGATGTGCACCTTCTGTTTGCTGGCTGGAAGCCTGCAACTGGCCCCCACATAACTTTCCTTTTGAATTTGGGGATGCTAGTTGGCGCAGCTCTGCGTCAACTTTCCCAAGTCACACCCGCTGCGAGGCTGCGACCCTCTGTCCCCATCTCTCCCGATGCTAATGTTAATAGTATTTTTCCTAATTAATTTAGAGTTGAAAGCTTTTCAAATTTGGAATTAAAAGTTTCAGATTCTGGAGTAAGTTTTGAATTTTGATTTGAAAGTTTTGGATTTTGAGTTGACCGGCGACCGCACGATATACGGAGACCATGAGCTCTTTCCCTTCCTTATCTGGAGGTGTTCGCTGGAATCGGAAGTAGCGCGCGTGCGCTAATATGGCAATTTCGTTCGAATTTTGACCGGCGTTAGGTTTCGCTTTACCCGCCACTCCCATTTTTTTTCCCGCGCTTTCTCGTTCCCGCCAATCCGACTCCGAGTCTCTTTACAACTGCGTACGGGCCAAGCAAAGCGTAAGCCTCCCGAGCTCCATCTCGACTTGGTCGGTGCGCCCATAAATTGCAAGCTCCGCTTCTTCATCTCGTCGCTTCCATCGATCCATCCACCCCTCATGGCGACGGTGGCGGCGGCAGCATCCCCCTTCGCCGCGCCGCACGAGATGATGGCGCGCCCGGCCGCCGCCGCGCCGGAGGCGACGATGATGGATTTGGGGCAGCTGCTGCGGCTGACGGACTTCGACAAGATCGCCAACCTCGGCGACGGCGCCTCGGGCGTGGTCGCCAAGGTGCTGCTCCGCGGCTGTGGCTCCAGCGCCGTGTTCGCGCTCAAGACCGCGCACTACTGCGGCGGCGGCGCGGAGGTGGAGGTGGAGGCGCTCCGCCGCGTGGCCGCCGGGGCCGGGCCATCGGGCTCGTGGTCGCCGCACGTCGTGCGGTGCCACGCAGTGTTCCGGTGCGCCGGAGGCGAGCCCGCGATGCTGCTCGAGCTCATGGACGCCGGGTCGCTCGGCCGCGTCCTCGCCGCCCGCCGCGGCGGCGAAGGGCGGCGCGGCCTCCCGGAGCCCGCGCTCGCCGAGGTGGCCGCGCGGTGCCTCGCCGGGCTGGCGCACCTGCACTCCCGCGGCGTCGTGCACCTCGACCTCAAGCCGGACAACCTCCTCGCCAGCGCCCGCGGGGACGTCAAGATCGGCGACTTCAGCGTGTCACGCATCTTCCTCGGCGGCGCCGGCGAGCGCCTCCGGGTCCCGGTCGCCGCCGGATCGACGGCCTACCTGAGCCCGGAGCGGTTCGAGCCGAACGCCCACGCCGGTCCGCGCGGCGCGTGCGCCGCCGACGTCTGGGCCCTGGGCGTGACCGTCCTGGAGCTCTTCCTGGGTCGCTGCCCCATCCTGCCCGTCGGCGAGAGGCCGTCCTGGGAGAGGCTCAAGAAGGCGATATGCGACGGCGAGGCGCCGTCGTTGCCGGCGAGCGCGGCGGCGTCGGCGGAGCTCCGCGGGTTCGTGGCGTCGTGCCTGCACAAGGACCCGAGACGGCGCGCCACGGTGGCGCAGCTGCTCGCGCACCCGTTCGTCGCTCGCCGCGACGGCGAGGCGTGCCGGCGCCAGCTACGGGAGATCATCGTGGAGACCATGTAGGAGTAGAGAAGAGAAAATCTCATCATGTAAAATTGTAGATCCTTGTGCAAATTCTTGAGTAGAGAAGCGAAACATCTCATCATCATGTAAAATTGTAGATCCTTGTGCAAATTCTCGAGATCAATTGCACTTCAATTGATTTTTTGTATTTTATCCTGTATACTAGCGTAGTCTTGTACGCTGCTAGGGGATGTTGAGATTTGAGAAGGAAAATCTAAAAGTTTCCGTCCACGTTTTAGGTGGTGTTCTTTTTTTAATTAAGATATAGATTTTATCTCGATTTTCAATTTTCATCATTAAATTCTAACGGTAGGAAGCAACAAACTATAACCAGATCAATTATTTTTACCCTCCGTCCTAAATATTTGATGCCGTTGACTTTTTTAAACATGTTTGACCGTTCGTCTTATTAAAAAGGGTTAATTTGATCCATGCCACTGCAATTTTGCCTATTTAGAAAAATGCTATTATAATTTGTGTATTGATAACCATGCCACTAGAATTTTTCAAAATTGGTGATATGCCACTGCCGTCGCGTTTCCATCCTCCCCCCTGCCTTTTCCGTCTTCTTTCACTGTTGTTCACTTCGGCAAGGTTAGCGCCAGGAGCCGGACGTATGGCACGCGGCGCTCGCTGGCGGCGGCGGGGATCTACTCGGCGCCGGCGTTCTTGGCCTACCTGGCGGCGGAGGCGTCGCCCGTCCACCCGCTCGCTGCGCGGAACAAGGCCCGCGCCGCCGCCACGCTGGTGCAGGCATGGCGCGCCCGCCGTCAGCCTCACCATGGCCGTGCCTACCATGGCTCCCCTCCCCGTGCCCCTGCCCATCGCCCCCATCCCAGTCTCTCCTCCGCGAGCCTTACGCCTGCCTCGGCAGCCGCCGTCGCCGTCGCCTCTACCTCCGCGGCGGGAGGAGGAGGGGGCGGCGGTGAGGCTGAGTACGAGGTCTCCGATGACCACCGTGCTGCGCGGGAGCGCCATGAGCGCGTGGTGCAGGAGCTGCTCCAGCGCCGCCGCACCTTCGCCATGGCCGTGCCTACCAACGACTTCGCCGTGCGGGCGCGCCTCCGCCGCCTCGGTGAGCCCGTCACGCTCTTCGGCGAGCGCGAGATGGAGAGCCAGGACCGCCTCCGCGCCCTCATGGTCTGCCTCGAGGCCGACGGCCACCTCGACCGCCTCGTCCGAGCGCAGGAGAAGGAGCAGGGCGGCGCGAGCGCCGAGGAGGAGGAGCTGGCCGCGACCGACTGCCGCTGGCGCACGGCAAGGCTGCGCCCGGCACGGACCGAGATCTGTGCCAGGCAGTGGCAACGAACTCCGGTCACCCCAGTCGCTCCCCGTCCACAGCCGGATCGGAGTCGAGGTCAACCAGGGGCCGCCCCCATCGCTAATCCCGCCGCCCCGCCCCCATTGCTGCTCCTCGTCCACAGCCGACATCACTGTCGTCGGTGCACAGAGAGGTAGACCGGGGCGTCGCGTAGGAGGACAGCGGCCGCCGGATCTGGGTCGAGGTCGACCGGGGCAAACGGTCGCACGGCGGCATGAGGGCGAACTCCGGCCGCCCCGTCGTTGCTCCCACCGCCGCCGCCAATTGCCGCCGCCGCAGCCGCCCTCGCGCCGCCCCCATTGTTGCTCCTCCTTCTCCGCCGCCACCGCCGGTTACCGCCCTTGCGCCGACCTCACGCCGCCTCTAGCTGTGTCGGCCATGGCGCGATGGCCACGAAGAAGATGGAGAAGGAAGGAAGAAGACGGAAATGGAGAGGATGGATAGAAAAGGTGACGTCAGTGGCATAGTTTTAATTTAGTAAAATTGGAATGACACGGTTACGAATAGGCGAATTATAATGGTATTTTTCTGAATAGGTAAAATTGCAGTGGTATGGATCAAATTAACACATTCAAAAAATAAGACTAGCGCGCAGTGCGACACGGCGGCGGCGGTGGTGGCCAGCAACTCCCGGTACGGGACGACGGTGCGGACGAGCTCCTAGCTACCCACTGCATCGGCCTGACACCGCAGGCTGGTGTGGACGAACTCCTACCCAGTGCAATAGCAACCGAACTCAGTAAATAAAGGTGGAAAAGATGATGTACTAAGGAAATACAAGTGGTGGAAGATGCTAGAAGCTTCTAGAAGGTACATGAAGAAAGAAGGTAGGGAGGAAGAAGATCGACAAGGTGCCTAGTGGGTTTTTTGTCCCGTTTGCACAGGGATGCCTAGTGGGTTTTTTTTATCCCGTTTATCCCACTTCTATTTTATTTTTTCTTCTAAATTTTGTATTATCATGCGAGAAATAAACTAGCAAGCGGGTTTTTATGTGGGTAGCGGGACAAACCACTTGCATCCCTACGTTTGCCGTTCGCCGATGATCGAAGAACTTGGGGAGCTGATCTGCTTTGATACAGGAGAAAGCCCAGTCAGCCACCTTTTTGGTGCAGGTCATGTGACCTAAAGTTCGGCCTTTGCTTTTTGAGACTTGAAGTTTGGGAAAGCTAGTAGATAACTGCAACCAGAGAGAGAGTTCTAGTGAGTCCAGATTGTTTCTTTCGTTCATCAAAACGCCCGAGAAAGAGGGAATGCTACTAGGGACGAACAGAGTTCTGGGGCCAGAGGAAAGGGGAACAAAAGGTTTGATCAATCGATCGATCTCTCCTGGAAGTGCAGGCTCTGTTCTTTTTGTAGTTTCTGTCCTCTTGGGCCAAGCGTTGGAAGTGACAGAGCCGGCCCTGCCTTTCCTTCCTGGAAAAAGTACACTAAAGGTCCCTTAACTTGTTATCGGGATACAAAATCGTCCTCCAACCACAAAACCAGATACGCGGGGTCCCTCAACTACACAAAACCGGTCACAATATATCCCTCGGCGGTTTTGATCTCGGTTTTATTCTACGTGACTGCTGAGTCAGCATGGGACCCATGTGGGCCCCACATGTCAACGAAACATTAGTGTCTTCTTCCCCACTTCTCTCTATCCCCTCTCAGCTTCTCTCCCCTCCCCTCCAAGCAGATCGCCGGAGAGGGCACGATGCGGGGCGGAGCGGCCAGATAGAGGAGCGGGCGACGGCGCGGGGAGCGGCCGGTCGGACAGCGGGCGGCAGCTGCGCCCGTCGTACTGGCCTGCCGGAGGACCGGGCGAGCGGTGGGCGGAGCAGGCGACGGCGCGGGGAGCGGCCGGCTGGCCAGCGGGGCAGTCGAGCGAGGCGGGCGGCGATCTCGCTATCGTTCGCGTGCGGCGTCGGCGTCGTCTTCATCCTCCGCAGCGAGCTCCCCGGTGACGCTCATGGAGCTTTCCTCTCACCGCCCCAACAGCAAGACGCTCGTCGAGGCAGGCGTCGTCCCGGACATGGTGGAGGAGCTCTACATCCGAAAGGTAGACGACGAGCCGCTCCGCAACAAAGCCATGGCCGTCGCCGTCCTCGCCAACGTCGTCAATACTAGCATTGATCGGGATAGTCGGATACCACCGTGGTGAATAAAGAAGGCCATGTCCTCACGTCCAAGTACTCCATCTACGACTTCGTCCACATGCTCAAGTGCTTCATTCCCGACGAGCTCAACGCCTCAACCTCAGCATCATCCGTGTCACCGCGCACGCCAATTCGCTCGCCGCCGTGGTCTCGGTCGTCAAGGAGAACCACCGGGGCCACTCCATCCTGGAGCTCCCGGACTGAAGCGCTCGGTGTCGCCGCGACGAGGCTACTCATCACCCTGTCAGTGCACATGGGGCACACCATCGCCGAGAGGCTCCGCAAGATGCAGAGCGCCGGCGCCAGCGAAGGAGGCAGACGAGGGGCGGAGGGCCGCTCTGCTACGGGCGGTTCGCGGTCGTGGGCGGCGGCATGTCGGCGGTGTCATGCTCCACCGTGCGAGGTGTGTGGGGGAGTGCGGCGTGCGGGGTGTTTGCTTCGGGACCATAGTGCGTCGGGCAGCGTCGTCGTCGTCGGGCGGCTTGTCGCCACGGACTGGTGATGGACGCCGGCCGGCGAAGAGCCGCCGCCGCCGCCGCCGGTGGTAGCTCCTCCCTCGCCGGCCGCTGCCCGCGCCCATCCGCTCTCTGCAGCCGCCGTGGAGAGGGGAGGAGAGAGGAAGAGAGATGGTGAGGGGAGGGGAAGAAGTGGCTGACATGTGGGACCCACGTGGGTCCCACGCTGAGTCAACGGCCATATAGGATAAAACCAGGATTAAAACCGCCGATGACCTATTGTGACCGGTTTTGTATAGTTGAGGGACCCCGCATATCTGGCTTTGCGGTTGGAGAATGATTTTGTATCCCGATAACAAGTTGAGGGACCTTCGGTGTACTTTTTCCTTCCTAACAACGTCGCTCCTGGGCCGCTCGGCTCGGCAAGCGAGGCGGAGCTTGATGGAGTCCTTGATTTGGTAGATGGCAGCGTCGCTCAGGTGGAAGCTACTCCGCCAAGAGCCCTGATCCCGCGTCGCCGCTGTACAGCAGCACGCCATGGATGGGCTCGAACGAGTCGAGCAGCGTATATATGGACACCGGCAAGTGTCAGCTCAGCCTAGCTTCTAGTAGTACAGCAGGCGCCATGAATCTTGTGAAATCAATCAACTTTTACGTTCCTGCCAGTTCATAGCGACTGCAATACCACACAAGCTTGGATATCTAGCTACGTACTCAGCCGGGGAAGTCGTCACGAAGCCTGTCGTCCAGGGGCGGGGTCGTCGTCGTACTTGGCCTCGATGATGCTGACGCCGCAGTCGTCGTTGTAGGGCGGTGCGCTGCGACAGCAGGGACGGACGACGGTGGCATCCTGTGCAGCTTGAATGCTTGGCCGTCGGCGTTGGCGAGGTCGTAGTTAGCCTCCCCCGTCACCGAGCTCGGCACACCACCGTCGACAGCCCGTGCCCGTACGTTCACCGCCGCCGGTGTCTCCTGCCCCTCGAGCTACTACCTCAGCTGGCCGAGCGAGCGAGCTAGGAGACGGCGGCGAGAACCTGCAAGTGCCATGCTCGGCAAGGTCGGCCGCTGCGGCGGCGTGCGCGGACGACGACGAGGAAAGGCGTCGTCAAGGAAAGGGAAAGAGGGGTGATGATGTGGGTCCCAGAGCAATTTTCTATTTTTAATCGGACAATCACTGTCATGTGGGTCTCAATGTCTCATGGAGTCTTGGTACTTTTTTATTTTAAGTAGACAGCTACGTCAGCAGAAACTGCTGTCTAAACCGGCTTAGGATTTTATTTGCATCGGTTTTAGAAGTTGAGGGACGAGTTCAGGGATGAATTTTAGACTCCAGGACAAATAAGGGACCCAAAGTGAACTTATTCCAAACCAAAATAGATCAGACTGTAAATGTAATGGGCCGTTAGCCGCAGCGCCACAAAAACCTTGCAGGCTGGTTCGGTGATCGCTGGGCCTGCCACCCGTATAGGGCCGCGTCTGTTCGCTAGATGCTAAAGGCCATATTGGCCATCTCTTAGGGGCTGGGAATTATGTGCCAGTTTAGTTGGAAAAAAAAAATTTGCCCGTCACATCGAATATACGAACACATATTTAAAATATTAAACGTAGTCTAATAATAAAACAAATTACTGATTTCACTAGAAAATTATGAGACAAATTTATTAAGCTTAATTAATTCATCAATAGCAAATGTTTACTGTAGCACCATATTGTCAAATCATGGCGCAATTAGGATTAAAAGATTCGTCTCGCAATTCTCTGGCGAACTGTGTAATTATTTCTTTCTACATTTAATACTCCATGCATGTGTCCGAAAGCGTGAAAATTTTGTTTGAGAACTAAACATGCCCTATGTCTTGTTTCCATATAAACGAAATTTTCATTGATAAGATTAGCTAATATTTTACTATGAATAATTTTGACAACCTCAGAGAAAATAAGCCATTTACTAACAATAGAGGTGGCGAGATTTAACTTATTTTTCTTTTTTAACCCTACCTACACCTTGTCTCTACCACCTTAAGGCCCCCTTTGATTCAAAGGAAATTCATAGGAATTTTAAAGGATTTAATTTCTATAGGAATTTTTCCTATATAGCTCTTTGAATCAAAGGAATGAATCCTATGGAATCCTATAAAATTCCTATGGAATGCCTCTTCCCATGCAAATTTTGAAGGAAATTTAACATGAGGTTCTACCTGTGTTTCTCTCTCCTCAAATTCCTGTGTTTTTCCTGCGGCTCAATCAAACGGTCATTCCTATGTTTTTCCTGTGTTTTGCAATCCTCTGTTTTACACTTGTATTCCTATCTGAATCCTATGTTTTTTCTATTCCCCCGTTTTTTCATTCCTGTGATTCAAAGGGGGCCTAAGGCTCCCTTTGATTCAAAGGAAATTTATAGGAATTTTAGGGCTCCTTTGAATTGGAGGATTGTCATAGGAATTTTGGAGGATTTAATTTCCTAAGGAAATTTTCCTATGAAACCCTTTGATTCATAGGAAAGTATAGGAAATTTTCCTTAGGCCCCCTTTGAATCACAGGAATGAAAAAACGGGGGAATAGGAAAAACATAGGATTCTGATAGGAATACAAGTGTAAAACAGAGGATTGCAAAACACAGGAAAAACATAGGAATGACCGTTTGATTGAGCCGCAGGAAAAACACAGGAATTTGAGGAGAGAGAAAGACTCAAAGGATTCTTAACATGAGGTAGAACCTCATGTTAAATTTCCTTCAAAATTTGCATGGGAAGAGGCATTCCATAGGAATTTTATAGGATTCCATAGGATTCATTCCTTTGATTCAAAGGGCTATATAGGAAAAATTCCTATAGGAATTAAATCCTTTAAAACTCCTATGAATTTCCTTTGAATCAAAGGGGGCCTTAGGATTGTATTCATATAGCTCAATTTCATAGGAAAATAAGCAAGAGGTTCAGGCCCCATTTGAATTGTAGGATAAATAGAGGAAAAACAAAGGAATTGAAATCCTACACTATTTATACCTTTGATTTGTAGGAATGAGAAAAGGAAAAACGTAGGAAACTTTCCTTTTCCTACGATTCTAGAGGAAAAACGTAGGAAATTTAACATCCACTCCAACTTCTTGGAAAACTTCCCTTGAGTCTATCTCTCTCATCTGAATCCTGCGTTTTTCATGTGGTCCAATCAAACGGTCATTCCTGTGTTTTTCCTGTGTTTTGCAATCCTCTGTTTTATACTTACATTCTTATCAGAATCCTATATTTTTCCTATTCCTCCGTTTTTTCAATCCTACGATTCGAAGGGGCCCTCTACCTCTTGGAAACTATCCTTTGCTTTATTTGTTTCCTATGGTGCTATTAAAGGGACCCTCTTCATATTCCATGTGTTTTCCATTCCTGTAGGATTAGGAGAACATGCCAT